AAAGAGTAGAGAATTTGGACTCTGCGAACTGCGTAATGTTATAGCGGCCATGGGGCAGGGGGTGTGGCGTATTCTGATGTGCACGCTCACTATTTACACACCGAGTGCTCAATGGGTGTGGCGTCTCTCGGTTTCCTGGCAACTGCGGTACATACACGTTTGTAGTCATCTGAATCAGGATGCGGGGGTCTGTATGAGGGACCGGGAACACCTCTCCTCTCCTGTCTGCAGAACCCGATAAAACATACCTATAAGAATGTTGGCAAGCGAGTAAGTTGCCAGAGTTCAATATTTTGCGCGTGTTTTCTCTTTTTCTTTCTTTCTCCCCTGCTGAATTAGAACATTATGGTATGGATATTAATTTGTTTGCTTAGTTAAGTTGATGTGAGTTGCTATGACATTTAGTAAACACACATTCATGCTTGGTAGCACACATGGACCTGTTGTTGTGTTGACCAGTGTCCAGGAGGAAACTGCATGTAACCTACGGCAACCATTAGGGCGTAAGAGAGAGATAGTTGAACTCACCAGAATATCAAATCCTATTTCGTCTCTTGCAATTCTCAAGACGTCGTCCCAACTCAGTTCCAGAGAGAACTCCCCTGGTATGTCGGCATAGTGATAGAGGAGGGGTCCTGATGGGAAGACAGGGAGGGAAGTGGGAGAAAGAGAGAGAGGAGGGAGAGATAGGGAGAGAGGGAGAGATAGGGAGAGAGGGAGGGAGAGAGGGAAAGAGAGGGAGAAAGGGAGAGAAAGTTCAGAGTTATGTATGTAGCAGCAACTAAGGACACCTCTTTATATACGTTACGACTGTATTAACCTTCTTTACATATGAAAACACAAACGTTTTTCGCACAAAAGTTGTATGCTATGGTACCCTGTTCGCAAACCATTTTCTGTGAAGATTCGCAAAAGAAGAGTGACATTAGAACACAGATGAGCCCCCTGAGATATTACATGAACCACACCCCCCTCTACTGACCCATGTTAATCCAGTATCCACCGGGTCTGAGGATGTGGTAGATGCTCTCCAGATACTGGATGATGTTGTGGGCCGTGTCTATGAAAAACGAACACGCCACGCAATCCCACGAATCTGGAAGGAAGGAGGCACAAACACTTTAGCAGTAAGGTGTACATAACAACAAAGAGCCTCAGACCTTTTCTTAATTAACTCGTCAACTCTTGTAACAGTACAACGCACAGATTTTAAACTCAGTACACGTGTGGATTGCAAAACACCCATGAAATGACTCTGGTCCGTGAAACTTTATTGAGGCTTATCTTGTTATCCAAGGACATGTCACTGTTCCATGTCATCCCGCTGTTCAATGGCTGATCCCAGGTATAAAAATAACAGACATGTTGCAAGGCTATGCCAATGCGCTCCGAACTCCTAGCAGAAATTGGCTCCTATATCTCAATACCACAGTTGGCTAATTGGGTGTCAAAGTGTCCCCTGGGAAGCATATTCAGGGAACAAATGAAGAGAGAGAGGGACTATGTCCCCTTGGTTCAGCACCAGCCCTGCTGTAACATGCAATACCTGGAGTCCTGTAGACATCGAGGAAATCTCCGGCTGTCATGGAGAAGAGTCCCAACTGAGGAAGAGCCCTGGGGTTCACGTCAGGTACGGCTACTGGTGCAGTCTGGTCTTCGTATGACATCATGTTGGAGAACTGGGTCACCCACGGATGGATGGTGTGGCTGGATGGCTGGGAGACACTGCGGGAAGATGGAAGTATATACCAGTTTTGAGCAAGAAATTACGTAGGTTGGGGTATGAATAGGCAGAAGCAGGGGGTTTACTCTCCTTTTTTTTTACTTTCCCTCCTCTTTTCTCCCTGCTTTACAGAAGCGTATATACTTAGGCAAATGTGTGTAATAGATGCATAGTATAGACTTTTGGAAGTGAATGTGTAGCAAGTGGTCAGTCCGACGCCCTCCCTTAATTGTCCATGGCTAAAACCCTAGAAGGTGTAGGGATTTGCAATCGTGCAGGTCTTATCATTTGTATGGTTGGAGTGCAAGAATACAACGGCATTTGAATTGAACGTAATCGTTGACAGTGGATCCAATTGCTTAATCACTAAGTACGGTAGTACTTAGTATATAGAGATGACACAGGTTGTCCTGCCCATACATTCATGTTTCATTTTCATTCACGCGGTAACATAACATTTGAGTACGTATGTACATATAATATATCACAAGCCGTAATTTTGTATATATATACTTGTGGTAATTCTGTACTTGTGGTAGTACAACACTGTATACCAGTTGAGAATGAAGTGCGACCCGAAGAGCATGTGCATACTGAACTCATTTCCCTGACAGCTGTAGCCTCTCCTGGCAATTTCATAGGCCAGTCGACCTAGTCCTGCCCCTGGGACCAGGATTGATACCTCTCCACTGGGACTGAGGGGAGAGGGGAGAGGGAGAAATAGAGAAACTGAAATGAAAAACGATGTATATTAAAGGAATGTGGCAGTACATGAGGGCTATATTTAGAAATGTTACTAAAAATAGAACCAAACAATAGGGTCACAGTGAAAGAATGCAATAAAGTACCAATAGAGAATATATCATTATTTTAAAACAAGAAAAGGAAGCACTAAGAGCAGGTAGAGAGTATTATTATTATGCTAACATCTTGTCTGGAGGGAACAAACGGATGATGTCATCAATAATTGGTTTATAGCACATGTCCCTCTCTGCTGCTCCCTGGGGAAATAGAAGAGAGAGAGGGGGTGGGAAGGGTGGCCTAAACTTTTTCGTACGTTTAGCAAGCAAGTGGGATGAAGTACAGGTCAACAAACTGTCCTGAATACCTTGACTACAGCTGGAGTATGCAGCGCAAAAATAGGGTCACCTAAAGTTTAGCTAGCAAGTGGGGGAACAGATCAACAGAAGAACACACGTGGACGCGACCTGGGAACTATGTATGTGCATTAAGAAAATAGGTGGGTGTGGTAAATGTTGACCTCTGAACTCCAGTCTGGAGCAAGTGGGGGAATGATAGGCCAACTAACAAAACACTACAGACAAAAGGGTGCATTAAGAAAAATTTTGGGTGTGGTTTAATGCTGACCTCTGAACTCCAGTCTCTGTAGAACTGTTTGATGGTTGTCTTGACTTTCTCCACGTGGAAGTCCAGAGCTGGAGCCACACCCTCTCCTCCATCCCTCTCCTGTTACAATATTGGATAACTTACAGTAAGGTTACAATATTGGACAACTACGGTAAGGTTACAATATTGGATAACTTACAGTAAGGTTACAATATGGGTTTTCAGAGACATTTGAAGAGGGAGAGAAGGACAGAGTTAAAGGGAATGTGGCAGGATATAAAGGGCTAAATTGGAGACTTGTGAGGGTGTCCACTGTACTTCTGACAGCCCATGAAAATCAGAGGGAGCGTCTGATCTTTCCGCCCAGTCGTATTGTATATCGAACGTAATTGCATTCTTGCATGGTTCCTTCTGTCGATTTCCATTTTTAGTAACATTCCTAAATTTAGCCCTTGTGTTGTAGTGTCACATTCCATTTAACACTATGCTCCCAGCCTCTCCCTTATGAAAAACCATAGATTTTTGGATTTGTCAATGAGCTACAATTCAAGACGGCGCAAGGTGAGAGAAAAACTCACGAAATTAGAGTTTTCAAACATGCCAGCTGCACAGGAGACTATCGTCTGCACAAAATCGCTGGTTCCTCTCCACTGCCTCCATAACTGTACGAGGTCACATGACACTCACATGACATACACATAACATTCTATGAGGTCTATGAGGTCCCAAGCTTCTCACGTGACATTTGTAGAGGTCACATGATACTCACATGACATACATACCATTCTATGAGGTCTATGAGGTCGCATGCTTCTCACGTGACATTGTATGAGGCTCTATTACGACCAACACCGTTACACTTACACCATCATAAAAACCACACGACCTTCGTTGCAAACGAGATAACACACAAATCAAGGCGGGTGTATGCAGTGTGATAATAGAAGTCTAATTCGTGTACACAAAAGTACATAATAAGAGACAAGCAACAGACAAAACAAGCGAGAAACATACACATTAATGTGTGGCATAACAATCCAGATATGCAGTTTGATACAAGACGTCTTCGAGTGTAGGGTACATACTGAGCATATACCAGAGAGGAGGAGTGAGGGATAAAGAGGGAGCATGTCTCTGTGGGCGGAGGGAAGGGAGGAGTAATCTCTCTGCAGTCTCTCCACACGTCTCATCACATAAGGTCTACAGCATACGGTACATGTCTCAGTCACACAATGTACAGCTCCTTACTGATCTTAGTATCCAGCACTCTCCAGCTATTTCTTCAGCTACTTAGTTATGCATAGATTTCGTGATGAAGAACCTCTCTCTAAATGTATGGCGTTTACTCTACTAGTTATAAATTGAAGTGGTGACTGGCCCACCTACTTGTAGTGGAGGAAGGAGTTGGCTATCTGCTTCAAGTGTTTCCTCTCCTCCTCCATCACCTCCTGACTCATCCCCGCCTCTCCTCTCCCTCCGTCTCCACCTCCTCCATCTCCTACAGCAGTTACTGCTGCTGTAGACTCGCCATCCATACCGCGTGCGGCGCATCAATTAGGAAATAGTAGGGTGTAACGTCACGAAGAGCACGCGATCGCGGTGTGTGTCTCGTTCCCAAACTAACTGTAACCCTCGCGATTGGAGATAACGAATGGGTGGACCCTGTAATCAATGATGTAATGATGTCATTGTCGTAAGTAATTCTCCAGATGCAGTGAAGACATATGGGATGGCAGTATAACAGAGAGTGTCTCAAACTCGCCAACTATAGCACACATGGAGGTGAAAGTTGGTGCGCATGTGTATTACATCGTTTCCATGACAACTACAACAATAAATACCCCCAGGCACTTTTCTTTAAAATTACTTCTTCACTCCTCAAACTCGCTAACGGTACCACGCATGGAGATGAAACTTGGTACGCATGTGTGTAACATCGTTTCCATGACGACCACAACAACAAAAAGCCTCAGGCACTTTTCTTTAAAATTACTTCTTCACTCTTCAGATGAAACATGGTATGCATATCATTTCCATGATGACAACAGGCCTTTATTCTCTATTATTAATTTTTATAGGGGCTTGCCCCCTACGTAGCAGTATATAAAAATGAGTGGAGACAAGTAAATTAAAAATCCTGCGAATTTAAAAAAAAGAGGCATATAGGGATGGTATAAAAAGAAAGGGAGACAAGATAGGGATTGGATACATGAAGCATGGTTAATGAACAGATTTGAGTACGCTGACACCCCCAACCCCATCACACATCCCTATATTGTTGCCTAGGTGAAGTATTAAACATTCACCATTACAATACTCAGAACTTACAATGCACTACTGAGTAACCAACACCCTTATAGAGTCCAAGTGGAGTTTAATTAAAGGGAATGTGGCAGTATAAATGTTACTAAAAACAACAGGGACACGGTGAAAGAATGCTTGCTTTTAGTAACCTTTAGCCCCTATAAGAGTAGCACACCAGGCAACAATATAGGGATTGTGTGATGGGGTTGGGGGTGTCAGCGTACTCAAATCTGTTCATTGACCATGCTTCACTGATGTATCCAATCCCTATCTTGTCTCCCTTTCTTTTAATACCATCCCTATATGCCTCTTTTTTAAATTCGCAGGATTTTTAATTTACTTGTTTCACTTAGTATTCCGCTGACTGATCAGCGGACTTCTACATATAGAAATCGTCCCCGAGGCACATTCCATTGTTATCATGCGCAAAACGTGTCTCACCACACATTCAAGACGACGCTAATCAGCTCTGCATAGAAAGTGTAGCTAACTCGAGACGCAGCACCCCTAACTGCAGGCAAGCTAACAGAGTGAAAGAGAGACGCTTGTTGCCTCTGCCGGCTAGCCGTGTCACAAGAGTAGGCTAGGCCCGGCGTCGCTGCGCGTTTTTTTCGCTGACAGCTAGTGTGCGCGTGCGCTGGAGCTGTAGCCAGAGCAAGCTAGGTCTCCGTAGTCTAGTCATGCGCCGCTACCTGCTAGAAGACTGAGTACCTGGTTTTGAGTCGTGAGAAAGAAGCTCCGTTTCTTTCCGCACGCTTGGCCGTCTTTCGAATTGAAGGCGTGGTTGCCATGGCTCTAAATCAGTTAGGCGCCAATTCTCGAAAACCATGCGATTTAGAAAGCCTCGGGCCCTCTAAGTAGCGTCCTCGCTGGCGCCCGGACAGCTACAGCCCGAGGGCCCGCGGCTTCCCGTAGTTTCCTCGAATCGGCGCCTAAGTATAGGTTAGATGCTGAGCCGCATCTGATTTGCGGGGTGTCATGCGAGCCTTTATCTTTCCAAGTAAATTACTTGATAGACGAAGGAGATGACCCGGGGAAAGGTGCTAATGCTACCGTAAGTATGTTACATCACTTTCTGGAGACCTACACAGTCGGTGAGAAGCATTTGAGGCTTCATGCTGACAACTGTGTCGGCCAAAATAAAAATAATATTTTGATGGGTTACTTAATGTGGCATATATTAACTGGCTTGCACAAGACAATAGAGATATCGTTTATGATCAGGGGTCATACAAAATTTGCTCCAGATCGTTTTTTTGGTCTTATAAAGAAAAGATTCAGACACACCTTTGTTTCTACTTTGGATGAGTTAGTGCAGGTAGTTAAAAATTCTATGGTTACCGGGAAAAATATCCCCCAACTTACTAAGAGTGAAAATTCCAGGCTTGTGTTTTGGTTAGATTGGAAATCGTATCTTACCAAGTATCTCCATGCAATACCGAAGATAACCGATTACCATCACTTCCGTTTTGACGAGAGTTCACCTGGAGTGGTGTTCGTGCGGGCTTTAGCAAATGATCAGGAAACAGAAGTTAGGATCTCACCTGCGAGTACTACATTCAGTGGTTTACCTGCTGAGATTACACCCAAAGGATTAGACATCACAAGACAGTGGTATCTCTATAACGAAATTCGACAATTCTGCTCTACACCTGAGACTGCAACTCTTACCTGCCCTCTGCCAACTTCTCAACGGCCCTCCACCAGTACTTCAGAAGAGCCAAACACTACTTCAAAGAGAAAACGGGCTTGTAGCCACTGTCACCAAGAAGGCCACACAAAAACTAAACGAGGGAAGATAACTTGTCCAAGCCTCCTCTAATAACTGAATTTTATATCCATAATGAAAACATTTCATATGACATACTACCTGTGAAATTAAATGTTTATCATTACTGGTTGGTCTGCCACAAAAATGTCAAAAATTTTAATTATTCGGATAGTACCCTTTTCGCATGACAGGTCACATATTTGTAGTAGTGAGTGTTATTAGTCCTAGTATATGTTTACATACTTAAGGCCCATATACCCAGGTTGAGGGGTGACTTCTATTCAATGTGAGGAATGCTAATATAAATAGACCCCATGGCGCATTGATGCAAAGTGGGCAAAACCAGTATTTGGCTGTATAGCTCCTGGACGTTATAAACTGCATTTATGTGTGTGCGCTTGAGTATGCATTTACTAGTGGTCTCCCGCTAGTAGCTCGCTGAGAGTCTGACACTGGCTAGATACAGCAGTAGATAGCATGTGTGAGTCGATACATGTCCTTCGTTGTGACTTCTTGTGCATCCAAGGTACACAGAGCGAGCGGACCCAGTCGAGGTAAGCCAGAGAAATTATGCTTATTGGCTTTTTCGCTTTTCATGGCATATCTCTCAAACACAGTCATTTCAGGAAAATCGCTATTTTATTATTATAGGATTGCGTAGTTTGGAAGCTGTTGGTATCACTCATTGGCTGCCTCATAGCCTAAAGTGCCAGAATAGCTGCAGTCAGATAGACGGACAGACACACACAGACCAAGTACTGTAAACCCTCGCTGCATGCGCATGACCGCTGATACTGTCTGCTGTATTTTGAGTAGCAAGCCACACACATAAAAGAAGAAGGGTGTCCACACTCACTTCTCTTTCCTCTCCTGCTCCTGGAGCTTTCAGGACTCTTTCTTCTGCTCAGTGGCACGTGTTTGGAGTCTGCAGAGATTATTACTGGCTGTTAGTGTGTTTGTGGCTCTATGTACGTTCTCAATAGATATCACAAGTATCAGCTAAGCTCTTGTTTTCACGTGAGAATTTGGTAGCTTTCATCTTTGATCAACCATAGCTACTGTAGCTAGCTACACAGGTCGAGGCCTGGAATTATCGGTGGGTGCAAAGCTATACTTACGTCTCTTCCCTCGTCTGGGACTAAGAGGACTCCTCCTTCCTGGTCTGACGTCCGCCATGTAATAATTGCTGAGCTGTATATACGGGCTGAACTCACTGAGACGAAAGAAGACAGCACCGAACAGCTCGTTCGCTGTTTGTTATCCACGCCCAAAAAACGCGGAGCACGGGTGTTTTTAATTGGCCATCGAGAAACCCGTTCTTCGCAGAGATTCTATGACCTTCAATCGAAGGGGACCGCAAGCAAAGCATGGCTCGCGCTTGGGAGCGCGTCTCGGGATTCTTCTCCCAACTCTCTTGTTCTCTCCCCTCCTCGCTTCTCCCCACTCTCCTCAGTTTGCTACATTCTCTTGTTCTCTCTCCTCTCTTCTCTTCTCCCCACTCTCCTGTTCTCTGTTCTCTACATTCTCTCGTTCTCTCTCCCCTCTTCTTCTCCCCACTCTCCCCCGTTCTCTGTTCTCTACATTCTCTCGTTCTCTCTCCCCTCTTCTCTTCTCCCCACTCTCCCCCGTTCTCTGTTCTGTACATTTTCTTGTTCTCTAACTCCTCTTCTCTTCTCCCCACTCTCCCCTGTTCTCTGTTCTCTCTCCTCCTCTTCTCCCCACTCTCCCCCGTTCTCTGTTCTGTACATTTTCTTGTTTTCTCACTCCTCTTCTCTTCTCCCCACTCTCCCCTGTTCTCTGTTCTCTACATTCTCTTGTTCTCTCTCCTCCTCTTCTCCCCACTCTCCCCTGTTCTCTGTTCTCTACATTCTCTTGTTCTCTCTCCTCCTCTTCTCCCCACTCTCCCCTGTTCTCTGTTCTCTACATTCTCTTGTTCTCTCACTCCTCTTCTGTTCTCCCCACTCTCCCCGTTCTCTGTTCTCTACATTCTCTTGTTCTCTCACTCCACTTCTCTTCTCCCAACTATCCTCTGTTCTCTGTTCTCCCGCTCTTCTCTGTTCTCTTGTTCTCTCGAGCTCTCCTCCACACTTTGCCTCTGAAGTAACATTTGTAGTTTGTATATAGGCGTCTTTTCCTTTCTATTTCGCATTTTACTGTGTAAACATTCATAAAGGTTTGGGTGTGCAAGCACCAGTTAATTGAATTTTGGAGGGGCATGTCTCGCCATTTTACTAACAGTAGGATTAAAGTAGGTACTAAAGATATCTTTTAGTCTATTAGTACGGCTTCTTTTTCTGGTATCCCGATTCTTCACTGTAGGAAGTGCGGTCGGTGAGGGTGACGTAGTAGGGGATGGGAGCTGAGGAGTAGAAAGAGATAAGATAAAAGTCAGAGAAAGAATTGTTAGCTGAGAAATTCCTTCCTGTCCTCTCACTTCATGGTTACCAACAGATGTCTGGAGGGAGGATTAAAGAGAGACCAATAATTTGACACAATTCATGAAAAACAATGACAGAGTTTGTGTATAAAGCATAGCTACATAGAGAAATTCATACACTAAAGTTTACTACTGAGAGTCTAGAGACGTTCCGTCAAGCACAGGACAGCCACGAGTAGAGTGCTGAGGAGTCTGAAGTGGTGACGTCTGCGGGAGTGACAGCTGGGGAGGTGACGTCTGTGGAGTCTTCTGAGGAGACTAAGGAAAATTGACACAAATCATGAAAAGAAAACTTGGAGAGTTGGTTTAGAATGCACACTAAAGGATACGTGTAGTCAGATTCTTTAGAAGATAAGTACCTGAGAGTCTAGAGACGTTCCGTCAAGCACAGGACAGCCAGGAGTATATAGACTGCTGAGGAGTCATCTGAGAGACCAATGTGGTGACGTCTGCGGGAATGATGAGGACTGAGTCTGGGGCGACTGTGCCAGGGAGGATGGACTTTGCTTGGACAGTGGTGGAGAGGTTTGAGTCTGAAACAAGGCTGAACCGGCTGTTTCTGTAAGCGTCCATGATGCTGTACAAACTTTTTTACTGCATGCTTTCTTATTCCTTCCTGTTCCCCCGTACTTTTTCATGTCCCTACAGTTAATGCAGGTTCCACACATGTCCATCCTACATCCTTTACATTTCCCACACCTTCGCTTCCGTGTAGCTGAAAAATAGGCCATTTTTGCAGTCATTGCAACAGGAAGTACAGTATTCTCCAAACTGTTGAAAGTGAATTTTCGTTGGATCTTTCTGTGTGAGAAATGGAAGCTGCACATCTGGATTTGTAATCATGACAAGTAAATTAAAAATCCTGCGAATTTGAAAAAAAGTGGCAAATAGGGATGGTATAAAAAGAAAGGGAGACAAGACAGGGATGGGATACATGAAGCATGGTTAATGAACACATTTGAGCACGCTGACACCCCGACCCCACCACGCAATCCCTATATTGTTGCCTAGGTGAAGTATTAAACATTCAAAATTACACAATAGTCAGCTTGAAATACAAAAAAGTCATGCTACTGAGTAACCAAGAGTACAAATGGAGTTTACAAATGGCACACCAGGCAACAATATAGGGATTACGTGATGGGGTCGGGGTGTCAGCGTACTCAAATCTTTTCATTAACCATGCTCTATGTATCCTATCCCGTGGACGTAACTGCCCGTCTAGCATGTACTGTTGTGTCACACTGCGGACATACCTTCTTCAGGCGTCTATCGCTCCCCAACCATCGGTCAGCCCCCTCTGCATACTATGGGCGCCATTTGTCTCAAAATTCGCGTTCACCAGACTAGCTACCCCTTTTCGCAGCGTTAGCTAAATCGTTGGATAGATATATTGGATGGATGTAGCTAAATCGTTTCATGGATATAGCTAAATCGTTGCGTGGGTATAGCTAAATCGTCAGGTAATTCTAGCCAAATCGATTGATAGATTATAGTGGGCTAAATCGCCAGAGGGATATAGTCGGAGACTCTCCGCTCTCCGCATGCGCATAGGGCCACGTGTGACGAGGCGCAGCTTTCTCCAAACATAGAGGATTTGCATCAGCAGAGAGTGCTTGCACAATGGCCTGTTCAATAGATGACTGCAACTCCGCCATTTTGTTATCAATGAGGGGCGGGGTCCTGGAGGAAGTTGAGCGCATGCGAATGATCAGGTATACACGCGATCTAACAACCCCGCGATTCGGATACTTAAATAACAGAGACAGCATAAATTTTACACAGACTGATATATACCACTTGAGTGTGTATCAAAATTTTACACAGCTATATGATTTAGCCATAATAATTATATTCATCCAACGATTTAGCTATCCCCGACCAACGACTCTATCTCGACGACTCGTTCTCGACAAGTTCTCGGCAAGTTCTTTTTGGACAGTCTCAGTCTCCCTTGACGATGTCGTCTTCTCGTTCACCGGTCCGCCGCCGCTGGACGACGACTCACACTCCCGCCGCCTTCTCGTCTGCTGTTGTCTGCTGTTGTTGCTACGTGGCTTGGTCTTTTGGCGATAGTATCTTCAGCTGATCCTGTTTGTTGTGCAGGGGTGAGCTGTTCTGTTGTTATATGGTGAGCGGTTTTGTTAACCCTCGGCGCGCATGCGCAGCGAGGGATACTGTAGTCGTTCTGTCTGTCTGTCTGTCTGTCTTTCTGTGTGTCGACGCTTATTCTGACACTACAGGCTACGAGGCGGCCTATTAGTTATACCAGCGGCTTCAGAACTACGCGAGCCTGAAAAACCAAAAGGGCGATTTTCCTGTAAACGACTGCGTCGAGAGATATGCCGTGAAAACAAGCGAAAAAGCCAATATGCATAATCCCACTGGGCTTACTGCGACCTGATCCGCTCGCTCTGTGTACCTTGGGGGCTCAAGAAGTCACAACGAATGGCATGTATCGACTCACGCATGCTATCCACTACTGTAGCTAGCCCGTGTCAGACTCTTCGCGAGCTACAAGCGACCACGGGTAAACGCAAACTATAGCCCAGCCCATCAATTAGAAGTATCGCGCATTTGCAGTTGGCCGAGGGTTTTCACTTTAATTGTTATATGGGTTGTTTGTCTTTGATCTGAGTGTTTAACTCTATTTTGTTGCATTGCTGTTGTTTTTCCGTTGTTGGTAGCTGCTTTGAGGTTTTTTTGTATGTGATGTCCGGGAGAGGTAAAAAGGATACACGGCTTGTTGGTTTGGGTTACAAACTTCAACCTTCTATTTTGCAAGACTCTTTGGTTTCACATATTATTAACCCTCGGCGCGCATGCGCAGCGAGGGTTACTGTAGTTGGTCATGGTTTGTCTGTCTGTCTGTGTGTGTGTGTCGACGCTTAATTATACAGGCTACGAGGCGGCCCATTAATTAACGATACCAACGGCTTCAGAACTACGCGAGCCTGAAAAATAAAAGGGCGATTTTCCTGAAACGACTGCGTTCGAGAGCGACAAACTGGCACGGTAGAGGACTGTGTTGCGTGGCCCAACCCATCAATAAGCGGTGCGCATGCGTGTATTAGACGCGATAAACGCGGTATGCTGGCTCACCCTGACCTGATCCGCTTGCTCTGTGTACCTTGGAGGCACAAGAAACCATAGCGAAGGGCGTGTATCGACTCCCGCATGCTATCTACTACCGTAGCTAGCCCGTGTCAGACTCTCCGCGAGCTACTAGCGGGAGACTGCGGGTATGCACCAGCCCGTCCCATTAACGGTACCGCTCATGCGCAGTTTGCCGAGGGTTTGCACTTTAGTGCTTTTCATTGTTACCTGTGGTAATGTTTCCGGAAGTTTGTGTCTGTCTAAGCTTGATGAGTCCTAGAAACCTCAACCAGAATGCATTCTTGTAAATGGTAGTTGGTTCTCTCCTCCTGAGTTTGAGAGTTTTGCTGGGGAAAAAGCGAAGTGCATGGAAACAGTCCTTGCAAAGCCTTTATCGGATTATTTCCTTTCGCTTCATCAGAGCCTGCCTTCTTTTACACAACCTGTTGTTGTTGTTAGTTCTACTGTTCGAGGTCTGTTAGTGGCCTTATTTCTGCAAGTTTGCCTTGTTTGTTGCCACAAGTCAGTCAGTCAGAATCCTTAAACTCTACTGGCACCCTTTCAGATGCTGTGCAGGGTGACTCTGCCGCTGGAAATCACAGCCCTTGTTTACCTTGCTCTCATTCCGCTCAGTCGGGTTTTTCTGTAGATAACACAGGTTTGACTCCTTTCTCTGGTGCTATTAGGCACAAACCCTTGTTGGTCAACACTGTTCTCTCT